AATTGAATGGGCGTATCCTTAAATCCAAGACTAAGCTCGGTGAGATTCACCTTTGCGGAGGAAAAAGAAAGGATCCATGGAAGAAAAACGAGAATCAGGCTGCGGAAAACAAGATAAAAGTCGAGTGCTGGGGAAATTGATGGCTTTTTTCGTTTACCTAGGGATTCGAGTTTGGCTAAGCGTCGTCGTCTTCTCCTCTTTCTACAGTATCTCTTTTCTCTCTCTACGAATTTTGGTTTTGGGTAAAGACGCCTAAAGCTGTAACACCACCACCACAAGATTATTAAACAAGACACCCAACCTTGTGCCTCTCTCGATTTGACCTTTTTTTTTCTTCTACTTTTCTACTTTTCTAATGCTCCATCTATTTGCTATAAACACTTACTATTAGATTTCGTAATAAACACTATGGAATATATAAATATATAAAAAAGAAGATAGTAATTAAGAATATGACAAAAAAATGGGATTTTTTTTTTTCAAAACAATAGGGGATTTTGCTTAGTTTTTTGGGAAATTAGCTAGAATATCTTTTTTTTTTTTTTTAAATAGCTAGAATAATTTTACTATTTTTTTTATTGATGAAATAACCTATTCTAGATTTTTTTTCTTTCATAATATCAAAATTGTCCTTCGCAGACTCTGCCGAAGTATTGGCAGACTCTACCGAAACATTAGTAGATTCTGTCGAAATATTGGCAGACTCTACCGATGTATTGGCAGACTATGCCAATATCTAAAAATACGTAAATTATGCCAAACATTAGCAGATTCTGCCGAACATTGGCAGACTCTGCCGAAATATTAGCAGACTTCGCCGAGGTATTGGCAGATTCTGTCGAGGTATTAGTAGACTCTGCCGAGATATTAGCAGACTCTGCCGAATCATTGGCAGACTGTGCGGAAACATTGGTAGACTCTACCGATGTATTAGCAGACTCTGCCAATATCTAGAAATACGCAGACTTTGCCAAAATATTGGCAGACTCTGCCAAGAGTATGCCAATACCTCGGCAGAGTCTGCCAAATACAATTTTGGTATTATGAAAGAAAAAAATTCAGAATAGGTTATTTCAGCAATAAAAAATGGTAAGGTTATTCTAGCTATTTTAAAAAAAAAAATAGATTATCCTAGGTAAATTTTTCTAGTTTTTTTGTTATTTCCCTGATTACCATAAAAATTTTTGTTATCAACCCACATTTCTCAAAATAACGATATATACAAAATATAATTCTTTTTGTTATTGTTTAATACCATACAAAATGGTACAGATGATCACCATTCATAGTTCTATTTATTATCACTATGTTACAAAATATAATTATTTGTTATTATTTTATACCATACAAAACGGTACGGATGATCACCATTCATAGTTTTATTTATTATCACCATGTCAAATCAGTTTGAGAAATTTTAAAAATAGCACTTTTTAAAAATACCGCATTTTAAAAGAAAATTTCAAACTGTCACTAACACTGTGTCATTTAAAAAAAATTATCATAGCATATTAAAAGGTCAAAACCTTTTTAAGATTTAAAGGTTTAAGGTTTAAAAAATCTTTAATGAATGTCATTTTTAAAAATAAACAACTCGTAATGATATATTCGAAAATTAATACATTAATAATGGCATTTTTTTTAAATTCTATCAATTAGTTTGAATTTTTATTTAGTGATAACACATAGTAATATGAATTTAAGATTATATTCAATCTGATAGGTAATCATGTTTAAAAGAAACGATTAAAAAGAATTGAATTGGTTTTCAAAAATG